TATATATATATACACATGGGATTTTACTGTAAGGATTGCATTATATTTGTTCAAGAAGTTGTTACACAGTTTGGCAGTATAAATAATAGTTAATTTTGTTTTAAAAATTGTTGGCAAGATTGCCATTTGTAATTTTCCAAGCCTTTTCTATGAAAGTATTTGAAAGTCTTGTTTATGGTACTTTATAATATTTTTTAACAGGCCTTAAACCCTTTTGTTTTGTTTTGGGTTTTTTGTTTTTGTTTTTGTTAAAAGTGGTGTGTTAGATCTCTTAATGTTTGTATTCACTCTCTCGGTTTCAAATTGCTTGAATTATTTTACTGGATTTTCTATAAATTATAAAGTGTTGCTCTTTGAGTTTTATAATATAAATGAATTGATTTTTATCTCTATCTTATATTTTACTTTCTTATGCAAGCCTTCTTAGAAGGTCCTTGGCCCTGAAAGGTGGTGCAGAAATACTGGTGAAGAAATAGTATGGTAACAGTCTTACAGGCTCTAGTTTAACTACTGTGATTCAGACACTGCTATGATTCAGATCTCTTCTAACCTAGTCTAGTTTGAATGGGTGGAGCACAGCCATAAAAGCAAAGATTTTCAAGCTGCATGTAGTGAAATCTGCTACACCACTCACTGTATTTAAAGAGCCTATTCTCACTTTTCTTTTAATCATATGGTCCAAAAATAATGTTTATGCTAGTAGTAGGATGTGAGTGAGAGCATAATTAGGTGGTAGAGTTTCAGCTTGATAATATGGAATTTTGGCATCTATATCTGAATTTTCATGTACATTTTTTCCATGCTGACTGGTTGACCTGCTACTGTGAAACGTGCCATGTCAACAAAAACAAATGATAAAGCTGGGAAACAATATAATGTGCTTTTCTGGATTCTGTAACTTCACACTATAACAATAGCAAGTACACTATAGCAGTAGTCTACAAGAAAATAAATGTAAATCTCTTAGCTACAGTAGAGGCTAGCAAGAGAATGGTGCAAAATAAAAGGATGGTGCAGAATAAAAGGACCTTCGTAGACATGAGTCTGTGCATACACAGTGAATTAACAAATGGACCTATGCTGTATTACAAAGAGGAGAAAAATATTTGGGACAGTAAAACCAAGGCTGCTACAGGAATTACCATCTTCAATCAGTTGGATTGGAAGAAGTTTTAGACAGCAAGCTACAGCAACCATGTAACCCCCCCTGGAATGGTTCATTTTGCAGTATATTCAGCTTAATATTCTCCTTATATTTTAAATTTCAAAGTAGATCATATGTTCTTCTTACTGGTCTCTCAACATTCTTTCAGAACCTAAAGTATATACTTCACAAAGATAGTGATTTAAAATTATTCCTGAACACACATAGAAACATTAAAATTACCCATATTAGAACTGACATGGAAAGCAGTATTGCCACCTATTAATAAAAAGCCTTTGTTTGCACAGCCCCATAAGGGTTTATGAACACTAGGTGTCTGGGTTTTTTTTTGTTTTGTTTTGTTTTTTGACACAACCTGATACTGCTCATTTGCAGAACTGTTATGGGTGGGAACATATAGGACTTTAAATAAAGTTCTAGAAACATCCTTAGAATTGCTATAAGTTGGAAACAACTTGAAGGCACACAACAACAACTGAGCAAATCAACCCTAAACTCTCCCTAGAAGCCAAGGTGACTAAACTGAGACTCTTGTACTTTTGGCATAGCATGAGAAGATATGACTTACTAGAACAGACAGCAATGCTTGGTAAGGTAGGAAAAAAGGAAGATTTCAGTAGGGATAAACTCAATCAAGGACACACAACCCTGAGTCTGCAAGGCCTGAGTAGGGCTGTTGATGATGGGGTGACTTGGAAGTTTCCATTCATGAGGTCATCTTAAGTTGAAGTAGATTTGATGACAGTCAACATTCAACAACAACGATTTCCTTTCTCAACCTCCTCTGTTCCCTCCTCTCCCATATTTAATTGCTACTTCTCAAACTATCTTCTGGTTTTTTTTAACCACTTAATCACTTTCTTTTCCCTGAAACTTGGTCCCATTCAAAACACATTCTTTGTCAAGTTTTCATCTAGTTATATAGGTTTATAAATCAAACAATTTGTATTTTATTTTTTTAAACACTGCAATTTTGTTATGTACAAATAATACCAGGGAATATCCTGCAGACTTGTATAAACAATTGTAATGATTTCCTTTCGATGTCATTATATTTTATAATTATCTCAATTTTATTTTAACTGCAGATGTGTGCAGTTTCTACTGTGAGTGAATGGGGTAATCCTGTTACAAATAAGGAAGTTGGAGCATAGCAGTAGAAATGGATGAGCAAGCTCTTCTTGGATTAAATCCAAATGCTGACTTAGACTTCAGGCAAAGGGTAAGTTTAATTATACTATAATTTGTGTTGAGCTTGGACGCCACCATGACTTTAATTTTGGTGCAGAGTAAATAGTTTGAACATTCAGCCAAGGTTTGACACATCCAAACGTATATAAAGTTTACTTAGAACTTGTCTGCCTTTGTTTGAGACCCCCTGTACCAAGCACTACTTCCTTCTTAGCTCTCTGTGAGGTTTTTTATCAACTCTTTTCAAACCTGGTTATACGAATTTGGCATGACCTGCTTTGTAATATATTGGCCATAGCATCATAATCTCCAGTTTGACTCTATGACATCAGGTTTTATCATCTTGATCACCTATTTTCTTATTGTTTTGCTACCTCAGTTTCTTTCTCTTGTTATTCTACCTTTTTAGCTACACTTTCCTGTTTACAGAACAGTGCCTCCACAGAGTTTATTTGCCTACCCTGTTCCTATCATCTTTCCTTTTTCCCTCTATAATTTTGGCCTTTGTCGCAGTCTTTCATCTTCTTAGATTGTCGTTTCTCTATTTCCTGTTGTTAATATTTATGCTGTTAGGAACTATGTAAAAGTTTTCTCCTGTTCTACTATTTCTGATCTTGCACTCCATGCTATTTTTCTTACGTTTTTGTTTCATCCACCAATGTTTCTCTCAGATTTCTCCCTTACCACTTTTGTGTTGTGTTCTTTTTATAACTCTGTCCTTGTAAAATTAACAGAATTGTGAATGTGTTTTTAATACTAATTTTATGTGTGTACTTGCTTCAAAATCATGAACACCCATGTACCCAATTTTTATTTTGCTGTGGAGAAGACATCTTTTAAATGCTGCTTTCATGGTTTTTGTTTGTTTTTGGCAAACTAAAGCTTTTTAAAAAATGTTTTCAGGCATTGGCCTACTTCGAACAGCTGAAGATATCTCCAGATGCTTGGCAGGTGTGTGCTGAAGCTTTAGCACAAAACATCTACAGGTATAAAACTTTATAAAATAATTGTTTTCTTTAGATTTAGTCTAGTCTAATTCCTAATGACAGGTCCTCATAAGACTAGCTTAAAAATAAGATTTCCAGATCGAAGTACAGGTTGAGTCTCCTTTATCCAAAATGGTTGGGATCAGAAGTGTTTTGGATTTCAGATTTTGGAATACCTTTATTTGCATACGTACATAATGAGATATCTTGGAGATGGGACCCAAGTCTAAATACACAATTTGATGTTTCATATACACTTTATATACATAACCTGAAGGTAATTTTATACAATATTTTTAATAATTTTGTGTATTAACCAAAGTATATGTACACTGAACCATCAAAAAACAATAGGATCACTACCTTAGCCACCCATGAAAAAAGTTTAGATTTTTAAATTGTTTTGGACTTGGGAATTCTGGATAAGGGAGACTCAACCTGTTGTTTCTTTTTATGAAGCTTCTCAGTTTCAGTAGAAATATCTCTCTGTGCTTTTTGTAAGACTAGCTAAATTCTGCAACTTGATGAGAGAGTAATCAAAAGATGTGTACGTTCTGTGGAAGCAGT